GAAGTAGTTTGTGTAGGTTATTGATGGCATGTTTTTTTTTTTTTTACTCTCGTTGATGTTCCGATGAAGGCTAAAATCCTTAATATCAACTGATAAGTAGTTTGTGTAGGTTATTGATGGCGTGTTTTTTGTTTGTTTTTTTTTTTACTCTCGTTGAAGCTCCGATGAAGGCTAAAATCCTTAATATCAACTGATAAGTAGTTTGTGTAGGTTATTGATGGCATGTTTTTTTTTTACTCTCGTTGATGTTCCGATGAAGGCTAAAATCCTTAATATCAACTGTTAAGTAGTTTGTGTAGGTTATTGACGGCATGTTTTTTGTTTTTTTTGTTACTCTCGTTGAAGCTCCGATAAAGGCTAAAAGCCTTAATATCAACTGATAAGTAGTTTGTGTAGGTTATTAATGGCATGTTTTTTTACTCTCGTTGAAGCTCCGATGAAGGCTAAAAGCCTTAATATCAACTGATAGAGAAGATATTTCTTCTGGAATTATTGGTCTTTTTTTGGTGTTGTTTTTGAGATGTCTGTCTATGTCCTGTGAAAGGTGATGTACAAACATATCAACGTGATTCTAGCAAAAATATGAAACTTGGCATGATTTACTTGTTTCCCTCTTCTCGATGTATAGCAATAGATTCATGTATCCTTGTGTTCTTGAAAGAAACGAAACAGTCTCACAGATATAGACGTGGGCATCTTTATAATAACCTTTTCTTCTATATTGTTGTTCTTAGCTTGTTTTCAAACGAGATACAAAACTCGAACAGTTTTCTATTCTTCTTCAGGGGAATAAAGGGTTATGCTAAGTTACTTGTTCTCCTTGACATGTTTAAAAGCAAAGGTTAACAAGACAATAAAAACTCCAGTGTTTTAATGAATGATACAAGGTCACATTAAGCGGTAGTTCGAAAAGTTTGAACATCAAGTTGTTATGGTGATATAAAGATAGAGGTGATTCTGTGTGCTAATGTTAGCGTCGGGATACATGTACTTATATTTACTCATGCACTACGCCTTATATTGTACTTAGGCTAACTTAATTAATACAGTTTCACAAATAATTGGTAATAGACTAGGAGCTCAGCTTTCCCCAAAAAATATTTTGTTCAACACCCACTACAGATAAGTCATTTTGAAGGGATGAGGTTCGAGAAACATCCACAGCTAGTATTGGTTGTTGAATTGGGCAGTAACATTACATTAAGTGTCTGTTTCCTAGAAAGAACTTAATAGGGGGGGGGGGGAGTTTGGTCTGGCACCCCGGAGGCTCAGCGGTATGTATGAAGGCTTATAACGCTAAATATAGAGTTTCAATAACTGTGGTGACCATAACACAGATAGCCCATTGTGTAGCATTCTACTTACTAGCAAACAAACTAAAAAAAAGTTTAGGCCTGGTGATTAAGGCGTCCGACATGCAGTCTGAGGGTCGCGGGTTCGAATCCCCGTCACCGAGCATGCTCGCCCTTTCAGCCGTGGGGGCGTTGTAAGGTCATGGCCAATCCCACTATTCGTTGGTAAAAGAGTAGCTCAAGAGTTAGCGGTGGGTGGTGATGACTAGCTACTTTCCCTCTAGTCTAGCACTGCTAAATTAGGGATGGCTTGCGCAGATAACCCTTGTGCAGCTTTGCGCAAATTTCAAAATAAACTAAACTAAAATGTTTGGTCTGTAAGGGTAGACATTCCTATACGTTAATTCTCTTGTTGATCTTGTTGATTAAAGTGATTTGCCAAAGTAGAGATAGATTATTTTTTATTTTAAGTAACTTGGTTTTTGTAGTTTTGACTTTCTTGTGTCAATACTTTTTGTAGCATTAAAACTTTTTATATTACTGTAGCTAGCTAGGGTACGTATATACCCATCCCAACTTGTCCTTACAATTTATTTTTTATTGTACTTGTTGGAGTGAATATGTACATTTGAAGTGGCAAATTACTGTAATGAGTGGGCATTCGACTCCAATCTGCGGGTTCGAATCTTCGTCACACCAAACATGCTCGCCCTTTCAGCCGTAGGGGCATTATAATGTGACGACCAAGCCCACTATTCGTTGGTAAAAAGAGTAGCCCAAGAATTGGCGGTGGGTGGTGATGACTAGCTGCCTTCCCTCTAATCTTACACTTGTAATTTAGGGACGGCTAGCGCGGATAACCCTCGTGTAGCTTTGCGCGAAATTCATAATAAACCAAACAAATTGTTATGAGCGTATAATTGCTGACACATTAGTTAGGCAATGCATCTAACATTTTACTGGTGTTTCAATAATAAAGAATGTCATATATGAGGCATCTTAACATCCAAACGTGGCGCTTATTAAAATTGCAAATTCTCCCAGTTAATCCCCTCCATACAGTTTACTATTTGCAACAATCTTAGGGTTCTGACAGTCTTCGCCTGCCATAGAAACACAGTTCTCGGTACTTAAGTCCATTATCTCTGCACTTACAATCCCATCTACTGCAAGACAGTTCCTACAGTTACAAGCAAGAAGTTCAAGAACACACTCTGATGCAGGATCTCTTGTTAAATCAAGGTGTTTCAATTTTCCCTCTTTACTTTCCCATCATGCTCTATTACAGATGACAGTGCTTGCATGGTAAATATTTCCTTCTTCAATTTGTAGGACTAGTACAATATGATGTTTCAAGCATTCTTACGTGAGAGGGAGTCTTTCATCTATCTGATGCCTGTATTGTTTGTTTGTTTGTTTTTTTGG